TGGCCATTGGTGTTAAGGAGCACCACCCGCGATGGTTGAGTCAGGGAAAAACTGGCTGTATCTCAAGCGCCATTGTGGGGCATCGCGTCGACACCGGCCACGAGATCGATCCGGAGAAAGCTTTTGATGTGGTTTATCGCATCCCAATCAATCACTCAAGGGCGGCCAGAGTTTGGACACTAGCTATGGCCGAGGCGATTGCCATTCGCTTACTAGGCCCCGACCTGTGTGCTTAAAAGCGATTGGTGCAGGCGCTCCAATTGCCTTGGTCGTGTGTGAAAACCAAAACAGAACATGACGTGTCACTTGACCCAAGTGGGGAAAGGTCACATCAACTAACACGTTAAACATTCCTACACATACACACTCACATTACTCTCCACCTCCGAATATTGACTTTAAAATGAGCCAATGGCTATGATTATGTAAGAATTTTTTCCACCATATGATATGTAAGAGCATGACTAGGAATATCCGAAAACAATTGTTCGCTCACCGACTCGTTTTCTCAATGCTATCATGGGAATATTCAAATATATGGAATTTCTATAAAGTTTCATGCGAGAGGGTAATGAGCGGTATGTAGAACGCGTGGATGAACGAGAGCGGCCTTTGGATAGATCATGTAAAGGGTCAGTGGGGTCAGAGAAGATTTTCTTTGCAAATTTTTCGCATGCGGGTAAGTGTAGTTCATACAGATTTTTAGATAAACAATCAACGGGTATAAAAGACACACAACTGGTAATCGACCAACCGCAACGAAGAGTTCAGAAGTCCTTGAACAGTCCAGTAAAAATCACTAGGTATCAATAGAGAAGAATAGGAAAAGCATTAAAAAACGAAAGGCGAAATAATTTTTGATTCAGTTTTACCTGTTTCCAATCCATTTTTTACATTTCTTATTTTAATTAGTCCATTATAACCGTCTTTTTAGACTGAAGAATATTACGTCTGCATTTACACACAACGGGAAGAAAACGTCATCATGTTTTATCACGCCGGTGGAGTTGACGTGGGAGCAGTGGACTCAAAGGTGAGCGGCAACATTGCATCACTCTTGTCGCGTTGAACGCAATTCATCTGTTTCATTCCCCAATAAAAGAAAAAAACGAGTGTTACGTTTTTCAACGCTGTTCGTTTTGTTTTGGTGGTCGCAGAACCCCATTGTGATGGCCATTGGTTCAACTCTGTCGACATTTTTACCCTCCAAAAGTGCATCTTAGTAAATGAAAATTTTGAATACCCAGTATGCACATCGTCACATAGTTTGAAAAAGCTTCGTCTTTGCAAACATACGGCAGCCATTACTCCACCAGAGCGTAATAATTCAAATGGACGAGTGTACAATACCACAGCAAGCAGCACTCCTTTGTGGGACTGTTAAACCCACTTCCCGGATCTATGATGCCAGTCCCAGAATGCAGTGCGTGTTATCAACATTGAATAAGCCATGGTAAGATTCATTGGCGAACATAGACTTCCGCATATACATAATACATATATATATATATATATCTTTGCCACCAGATGCGTATTTTTCATTGCATATATCATTGATTTCCCTTCCTCACTCGTAATCTCCGACGTGTTTTCTGTGACCGAAGGCCAGCAAATTTCGGATTCCGATGCACGACATAATTAAGCGGAAAAACACGGGTCAGCCAATTTGTTCCGCTGAAGAACTTCTCCAAAGCGTATTGTTGACCGAAATCAAAGAAACGGAACGAAAAAAGTGCGTTCAAATGTAACCGACTTTATTCACGATTGCTTTTTCGCCTAGATTTGAAATTGATCTAGATGCCTTAATCAATTACTGTATTTTCAGTTCTGTTTCATTGTATTCAACAACAACATGAGCCATGATGATATTGAACTGGCATAGTGAGGAACTAACAGAGCCGGTGGACAATTTTTTTAATTTGAGTAGCCATATTTCACCCGGCGACGCATCACAAATAAAAGATGCACACACCTAAAGAAAGTTCGATTGAGATTAAATAACTTGAAACAACTTCATCGTGCAATCCGGCTCTCCGTGATGCGTCGAGTATACGCTGTGACAGTTCGACAGCGCTACTATACGTGGCAGAAACATGGCCATTACCAAAACGGAATAAAGATAGGCTGTCGGTGCTTAAACACCACTGTCTACACCGCATTTCACGAGTCTGGTGGAGCAACCGAACAAGTATTGCTGAGGTTAGGTGTAAAGTTCCAGATAATAGGAGTTGTCTACTGTAGTAAGTATTCGACCTCCCGTGGATAACGTTTATATGGGCGTGTGGCGCACATGTCACCAAATAGATTGCCGCGGTGCGCGCCGGTTTCCGAGTCATGTACCAGGAGTGGAAAGAGGCGAACAGTAATGAAACTAAGACTTTCTATGGTAGTATGAAAACTTTGATCACAGTTCTCGTCAAGCTTAATGGATGAGGACCTCGAGCTCAGTGAAACCGATTGCTAGAAACACTAAGTGATGGCGGTGAGTGTTATAAACAGTGGTACTGGTGCAGTGGTGGCACAGTATTTTAGTTGCTGCCACCGGCGTGCTTTGTGCTCTACGGACCGAGGTTCGAGTCCCACCACCGCCACCCAGCTTTGCTGTTGTTCGGTTAAATACCTCGACTTATCCAGCGGGGCCTTATATGGTTCGTTAATCCATATTCCGGGTTTATTGTTACCGTTTTCATCATCAAACAGCAGGTCCCCGTGAGTATGGGGATTCCCCCGTTTGCTGTTCATCACACTAAGCTGTGTGATAAAAAAGCTAATCAATGTCCTTGGAAGCCCACCCTACATGTATTCTCAATTTTGACCATTCACACTGCCCTGAAAATTCCAGTCTTCCCCCTACTATTTCATCTAAATGGCGGGCCAAACGACAGCAATCAAAACCGCGATACAGAAGTGCTTAGATAATGGTTGATCAAACTCAAAGCAGTCTGAAATTACGCATGGGCGTTACTCCTAATCACTTATCAGTGAAAAGCCCCGATGGAATAATTGTATTACCATTCAGTCCTGGACACGAAAGGGAATACTAATCGGACGCAGGGGTCACTTGCTCACTCGCCTTTGGTGCTTTGCGGCTTCCCACACACAACCGCACAACCCCGTGCGCATTCATTTTTTTGCCCAACTTGCCCGACTTCCTTAAACCCTGATATAATCTCTGCCGTACACCTCCTCCGTATGCTCCTACAACTGTTGGAAGTGCAGATGATCTGCATCTACTGAATATCTTGATGATAAGGCATCTTTCTCAGTGATTCAGATCTGGATATCCGAAACAGGTGAAGTTTGCTTGGTGAACACGTGAAGCGGAATCTAGTGCGAATTTTCTTTAAATCTCGTGTCACGTCGGTCGCTTGATAATCGGTCTAGCATCCATGTGCATCCCGTTTTCGTCATTGTTTGAGTATATTTGGTCTGCAATCGGATGCAAAGCTATCGGCTAAAAACTGGGAAACTGTAGTCCACGC